ATTGAGTTGGCAACTAAGCGTTTGAGGATTTTGTCATTAGGTGGTATTGACAAAATCCGCAATCGCTTAGTCGCCAACTCGATAGAAGCGAGCATGCGTCGATATTGGCTGCCGGTCGTTTATCTTCTGTTTACGAGCAACGTTTGCGTGAAATAGTAACGAATTAATCAGAAATATAATGGAACGACTGATCGATACTATTTTACGAAATAGAGCGATCGCTGTTATTTCGCACAAGACGCCTCGCAGCGTCCGCATCGAAAAATCTGAAAAATCGATGATATTCGTTCGTGTTACAAGTTACGACACGCGTTTTTCTGCAACCTCGCGTACACACGCTGTGCATAGAGTCTTTAAACTCGCCCGCGGCTTTCGTTTACAAACAGAGAAGACAAGCGTCCGGCAACCAAATCTGACGCATCCGCTGTCGTAAAAGTACGCTGTGTGATATCCCCAGTTTTTTCATCGATATCTTGAAAATTAAACGAAATCTGCTGTTATACGCGGAGAACAATTATACGTGGTGGAGTGATTTGAAATGTTAATTTCTAGAATGTATGCAAAAGTCAGGGAGAACGGAATGTTCGTACGAGTTCATCGAAGTTTCAAGCGAAGCTCAAGCGTTGTTCGAATCCCCGAGAAACCCGTTTAGACGTTTCCTCAAGATAGAAACTTTCTTCTCTTTTCCGAGAAGGTAAAACAACGCAGTCGATTTGTCGCTTCGTTCCGAATCGCCTTTCTCTTCCTGTCGTGTCATAGCGCGTTCGTTTATTTTCCGACTTATATTTGATATTCTTAGATGTTTTCGATCCAAGTTTTCCTGCTACCTTTCGTATTTACTCAACGCGAGTAAACATATCGACTAAGAATTTACACGGGATATTGATTTTCGTTGCTATTCTGAAATGTTGCCGCGAGTGATTACGTTAGCAAACGCAGGAACTGGTTTTCCAGAAGTTAGAACTGTCACGTTAAATATATAATACGACGTACGTTTCTTTTCTATCTCGCAGCATATTTCTCAATTTCCCGACGTAACCAGTTCTCGTCGTGTTGCTCGATTTCGTAACTGATTTACATCGATAACGACGAAAACAAATTTCAAATGGAAGAATTCGTTCGAGATTTGCAAACATAAACGCGATTATATTCAGAAGATTGATTTGCGGCGCATAAACATCTAGCTGGAAGCACGGTAGCGCGATGTATCGTATCGCAAAGGTACCGGTACACGCTATGAAATCACGCGGTTGCCTTTTTACCTTGTTTCGCTTAGCTAGCTGCAAATATTAATTGCGTGAATAACGTAAACTTATATAATGGAAGTCAATCTACGAACATGTTTCTCTTCGTATAGAATTTTAAACGCTCGATGTTAAATTCCAGCGTTAGAACTTCGTTTCTCGTGCGATGGTCTCGTTAATCGTAGAAAAAAAGTGATTGGTCACGAAACGTAATCTATAATTTACGAAATTATATATCAGACGTATTTCCCTTTGTTGCTTTCTTCGTCTTATGACTCGACATTCCTACTGAATCGTCCTACGTTGCTATTTCGTCGAAAACCTCAACTCGAAACGATCGTCCAAACGATCTCCACCATATTAACCCCTTAACCTACAACTACGGGCACAGCCCGTAGTACGATGATCGGACCAAACGTAAATCGGCCGAAAATTCTCGAATTTAAATCGTATATTAAGTGGTTAAATGACCTGCAGTTTTACTATTTCCTCGAAAGTCGATAGTAAACCGTAATCGTCTCCAATATTTCAGCTTCGCGTAATCACGTTTCTAGAATTTTATCGTTCTACGCAATCTATGGGTTTACCGGTTATACGCGTCTGATATTAACGAACATCGTCGTATAGTCCTTCTTTCTCTGCTCCTAGAAAGACGGAATCTCCCAAAGTAGCGGGGAACAAGATAATATTACTTACTTGAAAAGATCGATCGGTTGCAATAAGTTCAGTGGCCTCTTTCGTACGCAGGCAATCGACGAGCTGCTTCGAATCTTTCGAAGGACAAGCCAAAAGTTTGGCCAGCTTCGTGGCCTTCTTTCTCGCCGATCCGGATTTTGCCACGGCCCAGCGACAGTCGGCGGTACCACTTTGCGAGATAGCACGATGGAAAAGTCCTGTTTCGTACAAATGTTATATATACGTTTTACGAATAAATCAAATTACACAATCTTCATCGTTAACCGAGAACGTGACGTTGAATGAATAATAGCATTACTTTACAGCGTGTAAATAATCCGATATCTTTTTGTATCGATTATCTGTCCTTGAGCGTTGTCCCTAGGATATCTGTTCTTCCTTATAAAGTAATGTGATATTCAAGATGACTTTTGACTTTTAATTATGCGTGATCGCCGCTACTTTTTTTATGAAATTTCGTATTCGGTACTTGTTCGAGCGAGAGAATTGCGTACGACGAACAACGCACCAGAGATTAGAACGTTTTGCACGCGTTACTTCTTTTCAGCTTATCGTGCATCATTCGTTGCGCAATTTCGGAACTTGTGAGTTTTACTACCGTCGCGTGGTAATGGTATGTTTCAATCGTTCGTCATCTTTACGCAGCCTAACTCGCGACTTGCAATAGGTCACGGTAGTACCCCGCACGTGCGCTTCTTCCTTTCCTATCAGTTTCATCCGTATATTTTACAATTTATAGAAGGACGATATAATCTCTCTGAGGACTAAAACGTACGTAACCGCTAAATTGGCGAAAGGACGAATGTATCGAATTCGAAATGTACCTATACCGAGCAAGGCAGAATGAAGGATATAGGCTCACCTTTCGACAAATCGCTCATCATGTGGTAATGGGCACTTGCACCACCCGCGCTTTCCCCGAAAATGGTCACGCGATTTGGATCACCACCGAAGACGGCTATATTCTCGTGTACCCAACGAATGGACATTGCCTGATCCTTTAATCCGTTATTTCCAGGACATACTAGATCCTCCGTGCTCAGGAATCCTATTGGCCCGAGCCTATAGCAGATTTTCATAAGTTTAACGAACGTTGATAAACACGTTGGCATTGTTCAACACCGACGAATCGATTCACCTGTAATTTACGGCGACGAGAATCACGTCGTGATCCAATAAGAATTTAGGATGATAATAGTCGGAATGACCGGCGCCACAGACCCATCCGCCACCATGCAGCCAAATCATAACCGGATATCCTCCCTTTAATTTATCTTCCGCAGTGGGCACTTTCGGTGTGTAGACATTCAGATAAAGACAATCCTCGTCACCGACGATCGCATCGTCGTAGGTGAAGATATTTCTTTGAACACATATGTTGGCATCGTCTTTAGCCGATCGTACTCCATCCCAGGCAGCTGCCGGTTTCGGAGCCTACAGACCAAGCAAACAAACGCGCGTTGTTGTTAAAGTACGCTGCCCCTAGCCGTTATAGTTATCTTTCTTTACTACAAGAGATAAAAAAGTTCTCAACTTGTCGAGCTTTATTATCGTTGATAACGTCTATTGATGGTTTAACGGTAGCGTATACTACGTGTATAACGATAGAAGTCGTTTTCTAAATAAATTACGACGTAAACCTTAACCGTTTCAGGCGTGATGTAAATCCGTAAATTTGATTTGCATAAATAAATATTAAACTATTGCCGAAAGTTCGTAGAAACTAGCGGAAATGTTTTATTTAAATTAAATTGCCTATTTAAATATATAATTACAAGGTTGGATATATAAATGAAAATAGATTTGTAGTTTATGGATAACGAAAAAAAAAAAAAAGAAACTATATCGTTGCTCGACACGTTACAGTCGAATGTCGAGAATTCTTTGAATTTCCGTTCCAACGCTTGGCTCTGACGAGCAGAATTCTCGTATTATTATTTATTGCAGACACATTTCATCGAATTATGCTATCAAGGAAAATATCGCGGTATTAGGAAATCCTTTATATAATTCGATGGTACGTGTGGCTACACGTACCGGGAAAATCTTTTCAAGTTCATGACTAATTTGTGGATTCGCGTTTCAGAGGTAAAGCATAAGATACTAAAATGTATAGCACGATTTTCTACAATACGTGGTTCTTCTAATTGAAAAACCGTAATAATCGTCGAACTAAATTCGCTAACAAGACTCTCAAATAAGATTCAAGATCATCGTGAGAAGATCTGACGGAAAGTTTCGCCTTTAGAGATATAGCAACTTACCTCGAATCTGAGTTCTCGAACAGGTGGAAGCGCATACGGTATGCCCCGAAATCCGGCGAATTCCCTGCCCTTCCTTGTTCTCATAAACAGACCCGACAACGTACCATTCTTTACTTTTACCAGCGGTGCGTTGGCTGCGATAAACTCGAACAAGCAAACGCACACCAAACAGAATTTCAACAGACTTCTCAGATGTCCCGTCATCTCAAAACTGACCGAAAGAATCGCGCGAACACCGTGTGTGCCACCGCTTTTGTATCAAACTCTTCCTATCGGTGTGCTGTAGAAAAAAAAGAAAAAAAAAAGAAGGGGAAAGTAGAAGCAATTACGAATCAGCGATCATACGTATAGATGATAATAACCGTGATGAATATAATGACTTCTGTAATAGTCGGCAATTTTTACTTCTAATTATACCCCGGAAAATACTGGATCAAACGTAGCGAAAGCAACTGTCCCATGGATATAGTCGCTGCGAGAAGGCTACTCGATTAATCTAATTAATAATTAACGATACGACGGACGGCTAATGACTCGAGCGAAGCAATGACACACGATAATTGGCGCGAAGCGAATATGCCGAACGAATCGCTCTATCATTAGTCGAACAGATTTCTTATTAACGAGTCGCGTTGTTCTTTTATTTCGAAAATGCTTCTAAATACTGGACAAAAAATTGTATACGTACGATCGTAAATAGGTGATTTTTCGTTCGTTGTGTAAGCAACGGAATAAATTTTAACGTTACATACGATCGGAGTGAAACGCGTGTACGATTCACGAAGGCAAAATTACGACTGTTTCAGGTGAGAGTCGTTCCTCTGCTCGTTAGTTCGATCATGTTGGGACGTACTCTTCAACACTCACGCGGTCACACGTATCTTAGTCATTATAGGTATTTCCGGTTGTTTCACTGGAATCGGTAATAGTTGTTTCTTGAACATTTACAGTTACTGCGCGGTACGACCTTTTCGTTAAGATACGATACTAACATCGGAGGTAATATATACGGACTATCTACAAAACCATAACGTGAAAATGATAAACGGGATGGCACAGAGGCAAGAGGACGCCTCCCCTCCTTTACGCCTTGCATAACACTTTCAGACGATATCTGTGTTTATTTGCACGATTGCATTGGGTCTATAGAAAAGTAACAATAAGTATATTCAAATTGTTCAGTATTTTACTTTTTAATTACTAGTTGTATCTTTTTCAAAGTTAATTATCCTCTTTCGTTAAGGTTTGTACGTAACTGTGCGTACAAGGAAAGAACGGACGAAAAAAATTCTAAAGAAACAAGGAGCTATAAATTATAGCTTGGTATTAACGACGATAAATATAACGCAGCTAAAGAAGCGTTGCATATTAACATCGAATAAAAATCGTAAGGACGTTATTTAGAGAATCGTTTTATAATTGTATGTACAAAGTATTACATAGAAACAGGGATTTAACAATAGTCCCATTTTGTAACATATTTACTTATAGCTCTGTATTTGTAATATTAAAAATAAAAAGTTTCTAATACAGAACATCGGCTTTTATGGGATTAATCTATCGATACGTAACACGCGTATAATCGATCTAGTGGGAATAGCTTATCCTACAGAAGAAATAATTAACTCGGCAACGTCTGCGTCTTGACACAATACGGTAAGTTGCATCGTTACTTGACTGTCCGATATCGCTAATCTTGCTCGAGCAAGGACTTCTTTCCCTCCTCTGAAAATGCCATTCAGTAGTAAATTATGCGTGGCAGCACCAGATTGTACTCGATTGGTTCGCTCTACGGCATCCAAGCCCAAAAATCCCGTGAGACTTTGAATCGCTCCTTCCAAACTGTTCACCGATGAGCCTAAAGCAAACGTTTCTTCCAGCTTGGTGAATCCTCCCGCAGCCGCTGCTTCCCACGCAGCACCGAAATCTAATCCTCTGTTTCCGATTCCTCGAATTTGATCAGCCAACGTCACCTCCAAATCCTCTAACTAGAAATCGCAATTGTTTTTCTTTAATAAATAAGTGCCAGACTTGTCGTATAAAGAGCAAATAGAATTTAATACAACGTTAATAAGAATGCCCTCGGTTTTGCCGTATTAATTGTAATTATAGATAAAGAGAAACTATGCACCATGTATTCATCGTTGTATCCTTGATCGGCATCTGGAACACCCGTCGCAGGGTCGCAATCACGAGCTACGAATCGCAGGGTTGTTGGAATAGTAGCAACAGTGGCGTAAATGTCTTCCGGATATTTTAATACTGTATATGTTGTACCAAGCTCGTTGTAAGGTAGACGAGGGCATGGAACTTCGCTCACGATCGTATAGCTAAAAGCAGAGAAAATATCGTCTTTCGGAAAATGAGATATCTCAAAAAAGAATATACTCCGATATAATTACCCTTCGGGTGCTTCGACAGCTACTCTTACATCCTCGAGTAATTGATCGGAAAGAGTATTTACGCAATCGAATTGCAAAATAAGGAATTCCGTGAACGTGTGCTTAATGCACTTAACGTTGTATTCCGTTTCCGACTCTGTTAATTCAGAGACAGGCGAAGACTTAAGCAACGAAGAGTCGCGAATAATGTTAGCCAAATGTGGTATTTGCGACAATTTTTCCATGAAGCTCTCCTCACGCGTTAATCGAGATTGTTGTTTCACGGTAGTATGTAGTTCTACTTGTGCTGGTTCTTCGACCGTTTGCGCTGGTGGAATCTGTAACGCGAACATCGACCGATTAGACTAGAAAGCTTTTGAATTTCGGAAATTTCAAAGTTTGGATTAATTACCTGCGAGATGTCGAATGGTTCGTCCATCGATGTTTGCATATAATTTCGCAAAGCTCTCTCCAAACTGGGTACGGAGAGAAGAGGAGGCTGTACCAAAGGCAAAATAGTTGGTTCGTTTTGTTCCTGTAGAATAGCGCAATAATAAGCTGCACGATCGCGAACTTCGTCGTCCGAATCCAATTGACAGCGGGACAGAAGAACTAGCACGTTTGGTAGTAACGGAGGACATGCCGCTGCAAAACGTGCTAAAGCGGTAACTGCGGCTGCGCGAACGCTGGCACTTTCCAGAATCACACGATTGTAAATGAAGCGAATATATCGGGATGGTTGTTTCGAAGTTGGCCCTTCCTGACCAAGTAAGTGAAGAATGCGAACGGCGAGCGAGTTATGCTCGCAATCTTCGATAAATTCGCAGAGATGAGCTAAACCGGCTTCCTTCGCCTCGGCATTTACTTCCATAACAGCTATTATCGTATCTGCAATTGCTGCTTTGTATTCCAGTCCTCCCTCGTCTCTTAGCATAGCAGAGAGAAAGTTCATCAAAACTGTGTGTTTCCTAGGGAATTTTTGACATAGAGCTCTATCGAAAGAATGAAACAACTATGTAATACAATATTTGTCTATACGAGTGGAACTAATTGAAACTAACTATAACGTTACCTTATCGCTTGTACAACTACAACCTTAAATTCATCAGAAATTTCAGATACAAAGGTGGCAATTTGTTTCATCAATCGATCAACCGAACTTTCCGCCCCAGTTTTTAATAAGGTGGTGATTGCCAACGTAGCGATAGACCTGTTCGAATCGGTAATTAAGTTCTCTAAATCTAAGTTGCACGCGGTAACTGCCGTTGGATGAGACATGGCAACTTTATTCAAGGTTCTAACAGCGGCGAATCTCAATGCTGGTTTCTGAGATCCGCAGAATAATTGGAGGACGCTAATAGCAGGCGCTATCTCTTTCGTGCAACTTCTTCCAAGATTGATCAAGGCATGCGCCGCTTCGTATACCACCATCTCCGACTTATGACGTAAACAAGATTCTATAAATCCCAATAGTTCTTCTCCTTTGTCGACTTCGTCCAATAATTTACACGCCATTCTAATCAACATACAGGCTGCGTAAGGGCTTTTTGGACTTGTTCTCATAAGCTTGGCGACGAGCTTAATCACGGCATGTTTATCTGCTTTACGTGCTTGATACAAGACACCAAGGGCATGGTACTGAACCATCACGTTATTAGAATTTAATGCTTCCTGAGCTTCGTTCGCCCATCTACGTGCTACATCTCCAGAGACGTTGGTCAGGTGTAAAGAAGAAACTAAAGCCGCGCTGGAAACAGCAGGAGAACGATCTACTATAGCTTGTTTCATATAACGTTCGATAGCTGCTATCATTCCACTGTCGGTGATGGTACATAACGCTCTTATAGCGGCAGCTCTGTACAAATCTTCTTTCCCGGTCATATCCTTGGTTAAACTCGAAGTAACTATAATTACATCTTCTGCCAGAGAACTCAGTTCCTTGATACCTAGATAGACCAATCTTCTCAGGACAACGTCCCTGGACTGAAATAACTTGGTCATGGCAAAAAATGCTTCTGTCGCTTCCATCGTACCCAACTGTTCTCCTTGATTCAGTAGGTATAAGATTTTGGTTAGAATGTGCGCGCATTTTCTTGGGTTAACCGGAGTGTCGTTGAAGGTACGAGCCTCCTGAAGAACGGTTGTCTTTTCTAGGTTTTGGAAAGGATTTCCCCCACCTATTAACACAAGAATCGCATAAGCAGGTATACAGACACGTTTATCGTACATGCATTACTCGTTCGAAAAGTACGTATAAACGTCTATTTCAAAAGAATAAAAATCACGTTACGTGAAACAAAAGGATTCATCGAAGGAAAATTATCTTCCACGACGAGCGGTAGTCTAAATCTGTTTACAAGGAAATGTCACAAGGATAAGACCGATCCGTTTAATTTCGCATAGAAACTTAAACTTATAATAGTACGAAGGGAACGATGTTTATTTATGATTACCATCTTCTTCCTCCTTCTTATCACGTTTAAAAGCGTTCATTTTGTAAAGCCACTGTCAGGAAATTGGAAAATAGAAGACACGTCACCTCGATTCTTTCACATGGGAGCCATAAGAATGACCTCCGCCATATTGCAACGTCGAAAAGTCGAAGCTAGACGTGTAATTCAGATGTCGCAGTTACACGGTAAGTAATATCTACCGTCGATAAGATCGTACTCCCTCAAGATAAAACAGGCGGAAATCGCTGTACAAAATCAAGAACCAAGCGAATTATACGACGCGTTCAAAAATGTAAAACGAATCTGTTACCATAAGATTCGATTTGCAAAAAATAAAGTTAAGAAGATAAATTGAAACAAAAGCTCTCGAAGGAGGTCAAGAAGCAGCGATCGAATCGATTTTAAAGGAAAGAAATAAAATAACTCAAAACGCAAATAGTATTTCACTCTGCTTTTTAACACAATTTCATAGAGCGGTATACAAATAACGATTTCTTATATAAAATCTTATTCTCTATACAACAACCACAACTTAAAATTTCGTCGAATCGGCGCAAGACCGAACGCATAGAAGGCGTTACCCGTAGCCATATTCTTATTTGTACAACAAAGTCGCGTCCCGTCGGTATTTCTGTATTACCACATCATTCGTCGGAAGAACAAAAACTTCTACGGTTTAACACGCTTTCCCTACAACTGATAATAGCAAGTCCAATGTTCTTTGGCACGTAAAAACCATATTCTTCAATTTAATCCTCTTCCCCGCGTCATTACTTTCACCGTATATATATATATATAGCTGACGAACGATCTATCTACAAAATCCACGACGAACGTACCTTACTAACGATTAACGTATTACGATTAGGTAATTCTCTTCTTTATCTCCGTATCACTCTGCGATTTGTACAATTGTTTCAAGTCGGAAATCGTATTTCTCTTGTCATTCGATTGCGAACTTTGTCTTATCCTTTGTACGGTTTGAATTTTCGCGGGCGTCGACACGTTCTTCTCAGCCGAAGCGTCTCCCGAGGACGATCGATCCTCTGACGACTTGCTCATATCCTTGCTCCACTTGGTTAGCCATTCGCTGGCGACAGTCTGATAGAAACGAAAAAAAAAAAAAAAAACGGTCGTTACATTTTATTTTCATATTTCTGCGAAAGATAACGACCGAGTTGCATCGCGGTCGACAAGAACAAGCAATTAGCTAAAATTACGTTTTTGTCGTCGTTTGCTGGCGTAGCCACTGCATTCGACTTCTTCTCCGTCTTCTTCAATCTATCCAATTCCTTCTGTAATTTGCGCTCCAACTGGTACTTGGCCACTGCCTGAGCCAGCGATCCGAGCTCTCCTCTCATCGCCGCGCTGAACATCGCCTGTTTAGAACGCATCGACATCATCGCGACGCACGTTCAGCAAAGAAAACGCCGACTACGCGATTAGAAGATCGTTTCTACCAAGATACTCACGTCTCGACGTCTCTTCGAGTCGGCATTGCTAATGGGCTCGGTTTCCGTTTGCGGTCCCAACTCAAACAGCATCTGGAAGTCCGCGTGTTCGCCAAGCCGGAAACCAACGCCTATCCTCGAGTCGGTACCTGTCGCGAGAATCGACACAAGAAGAACAATTCCGGTTAATCGGGCGTACGATTCGGTTCGAACCGGTCGCGCACAGGCGCGTCTCGAAAAGGCGAAACACGCGCGACCAGTGAAAGTACCTCGCGCGTTCGCGTCACGCGACAAAACTTTTATTTTTTCATGCGTATCGAAGCATTGGATTTTGCCGTGGTATTTCGGTAAACTCTGACACGGACAATTACACGTTTACCGTTTTTACGCAATCACCGGTTGGTTACCTTTCTTTATCGGTGGGATGTTGGAGTAGATGAGCGAAAGTATGGTGGGCAATTCCTCCGGAATAACGAGGCACGTTGCGTCTGAAAAGCAGTAACAACCGCGTTATCGCGCAATTTCTTCCTTTACCCCAGCCTCGCAATCCAATTATTCTATAAGAATCCTTTCATAGCCGACCGTCTCGCTCGTAAAGACGCTTTTGCGCCAGTCGAGCGGACTATGATCGAGGATGTTTGCGACATTCGGGGCAATTGGACGTAAGTAGGCGAAGGACGCGGTACGTACGACACGCGTATACGTAGGAATCGACACTTACGTTCGCAAAGAAACAGCAGGATACACAGCTTCGCTGGGATGTCCTTCGTACTCCACATCGTTTACATCAAAGAACAGATCTTCCTCTCGTATACTCGCAGTGGGCGCGTAATCCTTGTTCTAGGGGGCGGATCAATTGACTTTCCTGCCACCGATCTTCTGTAATTAAAATCGTCGATCACGAACCATCCTGCCGATCTTTTTCGTCGCGCTTTGTATTCTTTACGCGACGAGACAAAACGCCAACAGCGCGCGAACAAACGTTAAACGTCGAGCGACGACGTTAATTGGAAATCGAAGAGAATCGAAGCAGCGGGGAAGAACGCGAAGACGTTGGCCGATTCAACGGTTCTCGAAGACCGCGAAAACGTTGTCCGACTAGACGCGCGATCGATGGTACTTACATGAAAGTGAAATCTAAACGTCGGTCTGGCAGGTAACACGGCGTCGAGCCTGCGTACTCCAGCGAACGCGATAGAATGCAATCACGTTCCTTGGCAGCGCCGGTGCGAGAAAGAGCTCTCGAAAGAAGTGCTCGAGTGAAAGGAGACGTCGGATCGAGGATCGAGGTCACCGTGTCCGAACGACCGTCGATCGATCGGGGATGAACTCTCTCTCCGTTTCCTCGTTGTTTGCCCCTTCCTCCACGGGAGCGCGCCCGTTTGACTTTTCGGCGCGACGCGTCTCGTTTGTACCGAATTTTCTCACTCTTTTCGAGCACCGACCGATTCGACGAACGCCATTTTCCCAACTCGAACTTCGCTTTACGGAAATACGATGGATTTTACAAGTTCGTTCGAACGGAAGGTAAAGTATGGAGTTTTCGAAACGGGTACCTGCGCGCACTTTTATTCAAATACCACGTTGCTCGGCCTTTTGCGCTACTCGCACGAGCTTCGTTACCGCGAGACTATTCGCTTCTCCGATCCGCGAAACCTCCACCGACTCCGCGTGGCGTTACGCTAAATTATGTGAAAGATTCTGGCGAAATTGTCGTATCGCGTTAAACGGTAATTTTCGACGCGAAACGACGACGCGATAGATTCTCCAGAGGCAGGCGAAAGCCCGCAGCGACTCGAGATTCCCCATCGTTCGAGAATTTGCCCGGAAAAGCATGGAAATTATATATTCGCTGGAAAGTGAAACTACCTGGTGGATCGGTGTCATTTTCAATGGCAGCTATAGAAACGACCATCCTGTTCCTCGTATTCGCTCGACTACCTTTTCGTCGAATACCATCCGAAATAGCGAACCACCGTCCCCCTACCTTTTTCACCTTATCCGTCGTGTCACACGGTCCGGCATTCTCTCGTCGAGCGAGATATCGATGAATTTTACGCAATCCGATTGCGCAATTCGCCAGCGGTACGTTTCATCGAAGAACAGCGACATTGAGACTGGCGCGCAATAATCTCGTAATACCGATCAGTACGTACGATTATCGAACCTTTTGGTTTTCTCGAAATCGACAGCGTATAGACGAAAGACTTGGACAAAGGCAGACCGTAAACAGCAGACAGGCGACGTTGGCTTCGGGGTTTTCGGTTATAGGGTAACACCGCTAGCGCGCGGATCTGCACCAGCTCGAACTATATTCCTACTCGTACTTACACTTCTGTATTAAAATATATTTTCTACCTTACGATTTATCCACGCGTTTCTCTCTTTATACATCCGATAACCTCGACAATACGAATATCCGTGTGCGCGGGAAAAAGCATCGCTTCGGTGTAGCGACGCAACCGGTTGAACTTTACTCGACGATCGTATACACGGGACAAGAGTAAAGAATCGTTTGGAAAAACTTTGAGAAAAGAAGAATCTTCGTCTCTTCGAGCGACGTTGCTCTCGACGATTTGTCGTATTTCGATGGTCGGCGAGGTAAACGAGCGATCGTTGCGCAGCCCGTAACGATCGAGCGACGTACCTGTGAAACTTTCTGTTCCACTATACAGGTGTTTTAAGTCGCTCGTACCATTACCACGAGCCACTCGTTATCACGGAGAACAGTTTGTCAAACAGCGGATAATTTGTTGTCAGAAGGGAACGCGCGCGCGAACGATCTATCAACGTTCCTTCCGTCGCAATTTACGTGGCGCGTAAATCGATTTATTCGACGCGGCGTTCGAATCAGTGGATCGAGTTCTAATTTTTCAGGAGACCGTGAACGCTCGTTCGAGCTTACCGTACGATGCAAACGCGCACGTACGACGTAATACGTACGTAACGGACGACGTTCTGTTGAAAAATATGCACGATGGCATTGTCTATGGGCGCGCTCTATCATCGGTCCTGTTGATAGGCAAGGCGAACACAGGCGCGATAGCGCGCGCGTTATCAGTCGTAACCCACAGTTTCCTCGTTGAGCGTTCAGGTTTGCCCGCGCATAACGGCGTGTTACGGTAAAATGCCAACCAAGAATCGAATTCTTTCCGTGCTTTTCGCACGATCGAGTCTTATTTAGAAAACCGTGGCGAGAAAATCTGAACAGGACGGTTCGTATAGTGTTCGTAAATTCATTGGTTCCGAGCTATTCGTAAGGACATTCGTAACGATTACGTAAATCGTGTATTTAAACGAAAAATTAGCCGGTGAGTCCGTGAAATCGTCTTGGTGACTCGGACGTTGGCGCGTTTAAAACCGTTCGGCTTGGAGGAACTCGCACGAGGATCGCGTACAGCGCCGAGAGTCCACCAGCGATCGAATGGTCGATCGAATCGAGATCGAATCGATCGTTTTCCCATTGCTCGTACATTTTGTATGCGTTAACGTAAGTCGCGCACCGGCGGCTAC